AGGTCCAGGGGAGGGGATAGGGGCAAGCTAGGTGCGCTCGCGTCATATCTGACATCCTACCCCTCCCTCCCATCCCTTACCATGGCGTAGATCCCCTCTCTACTCGCACAGTCGGATGTCGAGCAGGGCAATGATCCCGAAAGGGTACGCGATGCATTGTAGAGCACGGCATGGCATGGCGTAGAAGAGCACCGCAAAGCGTAGTATGTCACAGCATGGCGTGGCGTGGCGTAGTGAATAATTGCATCACACAGTTTTGCAACGCAAAGCATGGCATCGCACGGCGGCCCCGAACATAACATTGCATTGCATGGCGTTGAAGATCAAAGCGTAGCATGGCATAGCACGACGTGGCACGTAAGCACTGGATATCACAGCTTCAGCTGAAGGCATGGCATCGCGCAGCGGAACGCAACCTAGCATTGCATTGCATGCCGTGGCATGGCACGGGAAATGACGCTAGCGCTGCTGCGGGAGCACGATTCGGAACAAGCGGGAGCGCGGAAATGAGGCCAGCGCTGCTGCGGGAGCACGATTCGGAACAAGCGGAAGCGCGGAAATGAGGCCAGCGCTGCAGCGGGAGCACGATTCGGAACGAGCGGGGCCCGAAAATGAGGCCGGGGCCTCAGCGGGAGCAGCATTTTGAAACAAAATGCAAGCGAAAACTCAACTCCGGGGAATCCTGTGTGTAGAAAAACAATACGCCGGGGGGGGTGGGCGAACACTCCCAACCCGTTATCAGGGGAAAGAGGAGAGTAGTATTCATATTGAGTAATTGTTGAAGGGCGAACCCTTCACCGAAAGGGAAGATGGGGGTTGGAAGAGGAAGCTTCCTATACCACCTACGCCCAGAAGGCTGGTGGGATTCCCAACAGTCCTGTGGTGTTGGTTCCTCGTTTTGAAGACACAGCGCCCCGCGTCACTCCTTCCTTCCTTCCTTCCTTCCTTCCTTCCTTCCTTCCTTCCTTCCTTCCTTCCTTCCTTCCTTTCTTCTCTCTCCCCCTTCTTCCTCCTCCTCCTCCTCCTTCCCCCCCTCCCTCCTCCCTCCTCACCCAGTAGAGCTTTTCGTGGCCCCATAGGGAGCTCCACCGAAGGCCCCAGTGGCACTGTCCGCACGCGTCACCCCCTCCCAGCACAGCGCTTCATGGCCCCATCGGGAGCTCCACCGAAGGCCCCAGTGGCACCGCTCGCCTGCGTCACCCCCGCGCAGACAGCGCTTCGCGGCCCCAAAGGGAGCTCCACCGCATGCCCTAGTGGTACCGCCCGCATGCGTCCCTCGAGCCCAGTAGAGCGTCTCGTGGCCCCATAGGGAGCTCCACCGAAGGCCCGAGTGGCACCGCTCGCAAGCGTCACCCCCGCCCAGTACATCGTTTCGGGGCCCCATGGGGAGCTCCACCGAAGGCCCCAGTAGCACCGCCTGCATGCGCCTCCACGACTCATTACGGCACGCCCCTCAAATGGTTCTTGGCTCCATAGGGATCTCCACCGAAAGTGGCACCCAGAACGCGTTTCTCAGACTTACATATGGTTGGGTCTTTCGCCTCGTATTTTTTTGGATTGAGGGTTTCTGGAATCGACTGTTTGATACATGCATGTGTGTATATAAACATATGTCGATGTATACATACGCGCACACACACCTCTCTCTCATTATATATATATATATATATATATATATATCGAAGTAGGCCTGAGGGAGGGGCCAAAACCGGTGCCTCTGTGTGGCTTGGGGAGCCCAACGGGCCTCCGCCCGCCAAAAGGGCCTTCAAGAGAGCCCTGAGGGCACCAAGCGGGGCCCTCAGGGGATCCAGAAGGCACGACAGCGCTCCCAGCTCGCCGACCACTGCTTCGAGACGGCTCATGTGGCCTCCAAGGCTCCCCAAAAGTGCTTCAAGCTCATCCCCAGGCTCCAGGGGCGAAAATCATTGACCCCCTTGGGTTTTCCAAGGATTTTCGTGTGGTCGCCTGCTCCGCTGTCCGACGTCGGGAGACGGCACAAGAGGCGCCCAAGAGGGCCCAAGACGACCCAAGAGGCGCCCAAAATGGCTCCAGAGGGCTCCTGGCGGCGCCCCAAATGAGCTCGGACACGTCACAAGGGCCTTAAACGAGGCCCTCAGGACCCCGAAACGGCCCCAGCACGCCCATCATTGCTCCGATGTGGGCTCAGGTATCCTCCAAGACGCCCCAGGCGAGCTTCACAAGCTCATGACCGGGAGGCTCTCGGGGCGAAGATCACAGATCACCCTCGGTTTCTCAAGGACTTTCGTGTGGTCGCCTGCTCCGCTGCCCGATGCGCGGAGACGTCACAAGACAAGAGGCGCCCAAGAGGGCTCCAAGATACCCCAAGCGGGAGCCAAGTCGGCCCACGAGGCGTCCAGAATCGCCCAAGCGGGCTCCAGGTGGCTCCCTTCACGAGCTCAAACACGCCACAGGGGTCCTCAAAGAGGGTCGTAGGGCTCCAAAACAGCCCCAGCACGCCCACCATTGCTCCGATGCTGCCCACGAGGCATCCAAGACATCCCAAGAGGGTTATACATTGCTTTCCGAAACAGCCCCAGTAGGCAAAAATCATTGATTCCCCAACAGATTTTCATTGATTGTCCAGTGGTCGCCTGCTCCGCTTCCCGACGCTCGGAGACGACACACGAGGCGCCCCAAGGCGGCGCCAAACCGGCCCAAGAGGCGCCCAAAAGTTTAAGAGCGCTGCAGGCGGCTCTCCAAATGAGCCTGGACACGCCAAGAAGGCCGTAAAGAAGGCCCGCAGGTTTCCAAAACGGCCCCAGAGCGCCCACCAAATGCTCACAGAAGCCTCCACGAGGGCTCCCACACGGGCGCGCTTTCAGGTTCCCGGAGAGCCTTCGTAGAACCCGACAGCGCGCCCGTCATCGATGCAGGAAGTTCTCCAGCATTTTCTTTCGTTGGTCTGGAGAGCCTTCCGCGAACATGACACACATATAATACAAACGTGTTTACACATCACATATATTTGTGTGTTTATATTTTCTCATTTAGATATGTATGTTTATCCACATGCACACACAAATGTATGCTTAGGTATATATATATATATATGTATATAGATTTATGTGAGTATAGTTACATGCATACGTATCTACCGGGGGAAGGAAATTGGGGCCCAGAGGCTACAGCCTCGAACCCAGTTCTGGGTGCCCCCACCCCTGGAGCCTCCCGAGCCGCTCCCCGGCCGCTCAGGACTGCCCCTGGGGCGCTCCAAGATCGGGGGTTCCCAAACGTGGTGGTGAGAACACCCGGTGGTGAGTCTTGGGCGAATTGGTGTCACCACCGGGTTTTGGAACTCGGGTGGTGTTTCGAGGATGTCTCGAGCGCGGGTGGTCCCGGGAATCACGAAACCCAGTGGTGACCCTGTGTCCCCAAACCTAGAAATTACGTTTTTGGGATTTCAGGTCACCACCGGGTGTCTCACCACCTGGTTTGGGGGCCACCAACAAGAGCACCCACGATGGCTTCCGGACTTCCCAAGAGGCTGCCAAGAGCACCCAAAAACGCCCCAAAGTCACCCCCGGACCGCTCAAGATGATCTCCTGGCGGCTCCAGAGGTCTCCAAGGCGCCCCGAGATAGCTTCGAGAGGCCCCCCAAGAGGGCCCCAGGAGGTCATAATCGCCCCATTCCCTGCGGAAGACGTACATGAACCCGGTGCGACCCCAATTAGGGGAAAGCTTCCTCTTGCATGGGCGCAGTGCTTGGCATTGCTTGGCGTTGCTTGGCATTGCTTGGCATTGCTTGGCTTTGCTTGCCGTTGCTTGGCATTGCTAGGCATTCCTTGGCATTTCTTGGCATTGCTTGGCATTGGCTGTCATTGCTTGGCATTGCTTGGCATTGCTTGCCGTTGCTTGGCATTGCTTGGCATTGCTTGGCATTGCTTGCCGTTGCTTGGCATTGCTTGGCATTGCTTGGCATTGCTTGGCATTGCTTGGCATTGCTTGCCGTTGCTTGGCATTGCTTGGCATTGCTTGGCATTGCTTGGCATTGCTTTGCACTGCTTGGCATTGCTTGGCATTGCTTGGTATTGCTTGGCAGTTCTTGGCATTCCTGGGCATTGCTTTGAACGGGCACAGCAATAATGCAAGGCCTCCCGGGGCGACCCGGGGCGACCCGGGGCGACCCGGGGCACCCGGGGAACCCGGGGAACCCGGGGAACCCGAGGCGCCCGAGGCTCCAGGGAATCTCCGTGAAACGGGCAACGTAAGACTCGGAGGCACCGAGGGCGAAGGAGCCCTTGGAACCCTCCGAGCAACGTGCAACGTAAGGATCCGAGCACCGTGCAACGTAAGGATCCGAGCACCGTGCAACACAAGGATCCCTAACACGTTCGCTACTCGGGGCTTCACAGCTTCCAAGACGGCCCAACCTCTCCCTTGAGATCGCCTCAAGACGGCCACATAGGCCCCCAGAGAGGCATCAAAGCTGCCCAAGAGAGGCTGAAGACGGTCCACGAGGCGCCCAAGACTGCCCAAGAGAGCCTCGGCAGGGCATGTAGAGGGGCCCCACAAAAGGAGGATTTGCGCTCACATTACGAGCCCTCCTCCCCGAGGGGACCCCCGAGACTGCCAGCAGGCCCCAACGAAGCCCCCAAGATACCCCCAGGACGTCCAATTTCAAAGAGGCCCCCAAACGACCCCTCAGAGGCGCACTGTTTCCAAGACGCTCACCAAAGAGGCTTCCCAAGAGAGCCGAACCTGCATCCCAGAGGCCTCTGACGCACAACCCAGGCACGGTGGCAGCACTTTTATTGCCCAGCCTTCTACATTTGGCCCCAGGCCATCCACAAGCGAGCCACACCAGGGTCCCAAGAGACAATCCCCAACAGAAAAACACCACGGCTCAAAGATCCCACACACTCACCTCGCGATCGCTATGACATTACCGAGCTGTCCAACGACACTTCCTGGACGGCCCAAGGAAAGCCGAAGAGGGCCCCAGAAAACCAGGATGGAACCCAAAGGCTCCCAAGACGCTACAATATTCCACAAGATAATCCTAACACGGACCTGTACATATTTGGCTCAAGCCATAGCCATTTTGGCTCACGCCATCTGGAATCAGGTCTTTTCGGCTTCATTAGCTCGTCGCAGTTCTCAGCCGAAGCTCGCTCGGCCCGGCTGGCCCAGCGGCGGCGATGGCTTTGATGATTCCGCGCGCGGGCGCGCTGGAGCAAGAGGGCCTTCAGCCCCCTGCAATGAGCCACCTAGTGTCGGCTCGCGGCCCGGCGCACATGGTGCTCGACGCAGGGGCCCGCGCTTATCAGCCTGTGGGCGTCCAGGGGGGCCTCCTCGGCGAAGCAGTGCCGCCGCAGCCGCCAGACATCAAGAGGAGAGATGAGCTGGACCCAGACTGGGACAATCACGTGCACGCTTTCAAGAGGCAGTATCTGTACATCGCCATTGCCTATGCGACCCCCTGCTTCTGCATCTTCATGTACTCGGTCTTCAAGTCGATCCTGTACAGGGGCTGGTGGAACACGTCGGCTGGGGAGCCCTACATGCCGCACTCGATGAACGAGCAGAACCCGTACCGCGCATACATCGGGATCCCGTCCGTCCTGGAGATGCACATGTGGTTCGCCTGTATGATGCTGGCCGCGATCTGCGTTCAGCTTGGCTCCATGTGGATGGCTGTGCACACTGGCATTGACGCCTACGGCAAGTTCCACGCCATGTTCGGCAAGGTCACGATGTTCGTCATCATCCTGGCCGCAGGGCTGGGCACCATCGGGCTGGGCGTCTGTGACGTCCAGCCGAAGCGCGGTGCGGAGAATCTGTTCTTCGTGGGCATAGGTGTCGGTATCCTCGTCTGCCTCTTCCGTGGGGTGTACGTCGCAAGCGGTGGTTTTTATGGGCTCCACTTCCAGTACATGGCGGCCGCCGTGGTGTTGATATTTTCGCCTGGATGGAACCGAATCATCGCCGTGATTCTCCGCAATTACGTATGGCTGTGGAGGCATATCGACCAGGAATGTTTCATCATCAACTCCTGGGGCCAACGTGGCTTTCTGTATTTCTGGTCATTTCTGGCTGGGATGAGCTTCGAGTTCTTCTGGTGGCTCGGCGTTTTCAGGGCCCCGTTCTTCAAGGCGAACTCCATCGGCTTCGCAGTTCACGTCGTCCTGGCGGCCATACTCTTCGCGTGCGCCTGGCAGACGTTTTACGCCTCCGCCGTTCACGGGGAACCGCTTACGACCCAGCAGTGCACGGCAGAGGACTACCAGGACTGGAAGAATTTCACCAGCGGCGTCCGCACACAGGGCTTGTACTCGCTATCCAGGGGCTATGGCGTTTGCTCGGCAAACCTGTGGCAGTCTCCCCCCGGAACATTTGTCCACTATGGTGGCGGAGAATATTCCGTGTTTCGCCTCATGAATCACCCACAAGACCCTGTGGTAGATGTTGGGTACAATTGAATGTGTATACGTAGACACACCTGTACAGATTATAGAAATGTAGGAATGGGAAGATGTTTGTATATTGCGAAGGCCTAACGGCCGGTGCCGCCGACCCTGAAGACGACGAAGGGGGGGAGCAGCGTGAGGAAGCGAGTAGGAGCAACCAAATTCACTTATTTGTTTGATTCGGCAGCGCCTTCGTCCAAACAAAGTGGGCGATGGAACTTGGTTAATTTGAGTCCTGCCGAGCGCCTGCATTGCCAGCAGCGTCGTTTGCGGGACCACGCAGGGCGTTTCGGGCGATTGTCGTTGTAGCGATCTCAATTCCCATGTTGGCGGTCAGTGGCGTCAAAGTTCACGCTTTTTTTTCTTCGACAAGGAAATTGCCAGGCCTCTAAACGAAGAGGCGAGTCTTCCAACGCTTTTTTGCCGGCATTCATGCATTTGAACGCACGCTGGTGCAAACACCAACGTCGCGTGTGCAGCAGCAGGTTGAGCGGAGTCGTCTTCGGCAGCCCTTGGTGCAATCACTGCAGCGGCCCTTTGATGCCTGTTCTACATGTTACGCGGTGCCAGTCTGGACAGATGGTCTGGACCCCCCCCCCCAAAAAAAAAATAACACGGACCTGTACATACTTCTCCTCCTCCCGTTTGTCAGCATCGTAGTCACCCTCTCGTCGTCGTCCCCACGGGGGGAAGCCTGAGACTAGACAATCTCAAGTCATCGGAGGCAGGGGGCAGGGGGGGACGGGGAAAGAGGAGGAGGAGGAGGAGGAGGAGGAGGAGGAGGAGGAGGAGGAGGACTAGGAGGAGGAGGAGGAGGAGTAGAAGGAGGAGGAGAAGGATGGAGAGGGGCAGCCAGGACCCAGCGCCGTCGCAGCCCGCGCGTCGAGAGGCACCCAAGACGCACCTACCTCACGACCCCAGTAAGGGGTGTGTCGACATGGGCGTGGCGGCGGTATGCGAACTTTGGCTCTGGGGCTGTTGGTGGGGCTTCCAGTGGGGTGCGGTCCGTGTGAGGAGACAGTCAACATACACAGGGGGACGTGGCGTTATGCGACTCCTCCCACCAGGGCCGCACGTGAAACGACATCCCTCTGGGGCACGATCCATGCCGATATGGGAGAAGGGACGCCATGCAAACTTTGCCCCTGCACCCAAGAGTGGAGCTCACGGGGGGGGCACGATCCGTGAGGGCCGTGCCGAAATTTGTTGGGGGACGCTTTGTGAACCCTGCCTTCCTCTGGGGCCGTAGGTCTTGGTTCAATCCGTGCGATCGGTACCTTTTTGTTTTCAGTTCAAACTATGTCTGGGTCACTACTTCAGTGGAGCTGTCTGTGAGCGAATCGCACCATCCAGTTAATGTTTGTGGTGATGAGGAGGAGGAACGAGGAGGAACGAGGAGAAACAGTTCTTCAGAACCCATCAGGTATTTCAAAGCCTTTGCGACCGCCTCGCATCGGAAAGAGGGAGAACGCAGGTAGTTACGAGGCAGACAGGGACGCTGGGGCTCGGTGAGGGCCCCTAGACACCCTGCACCTATGCTGGCGTAGTGGGGGCCCAGGGCCCGGGCCGGGACACCCTCCCAGATTTCCCCTACGACAGGTTTGGCCCCTTCCGGGGCCTCCCCGGCCTCCCCCCGCCCCTTGTTCAAAACAGCTCCGGAGGCCACCAAAAAGCGACCAGAGCAGCATGACGGCCGAAGACGCCCGAATATTGTTTCAAGACGGCTCAAGAGACCCCGAAGACGTCGAAGGCTCCAAGATGCGCCCTGCGAGAGCTCCAGGAGGCCCAAATTGCTTCATTCCCTAAGGTGACGGTGCGTTTAGAGCAAATTCGCCTTTGGGTTTTTTGCCAGTGTCCAAAAAGAAGAGATCGCCCCAAGACGGCCCAAGAGGCCCCAGGAAGACCCAAGAGAGCCCTAAGACGGTCCAAGAGGTGCCCAAGACGGCTTAAGAAGGCCCCGAGAGGGGCCCAAGAGGGGAAACTCCAACTGACATTTCGAGCCCTCCGCCACGAGTGGGCCCCTGAGGCTGCAGCAGGTCCCCTAAGAGGCCCCCAAGGGCCCCGAAAGATACGGCAAGAGGCCCCCAGTTGGCCCACATGAGGGTACAAGAAGCTTCAACACTCGCTCCACGAGGCGCCCGAGAAGCATGCCGAAGGACCCCGAAGTACAGGTATCGTCCAAGGATCCTCTGGCCCAGAACTCAGGTACCGTAGCGGCATGGGCCGAAGGCCACGAATAAGCAAAGGGTTTGGCGACGGACACATCCTCATGAAGCGATGTGTAGCGCAGGGCGCGGGTCTCTCTTCATACGCTGCGTGCCGCGGGGCGATGTAGGAAGATGGATACTGCGGACCACGAGTGCACGGGTGCGCTGAATTCCTGAACTCCTTGTAGGGCACGATCTAAGTGAAGGGTGTGCCAGATAATTCGGATGGCCCCGCACGAAAGCCACCATTGAGGCCACAGGTGGACCTCTTCCAGGCACGACCCGTGCGAGGCATGTTCCGAATTTGGTGAGGGGACGCCATGCGAAGCTGCCCATTGATGCTATAGGTGGAGGTCCTTCTGAGGCATGGTTCGCGTGACGGGTCTGCCGACATTGGCGGGGGAGCTCTGTACGAACCTCGTCTCTGGGCCTTTAGGTGGTACTCTTTGTGGGCACGATCCGTGTGATGGGTGTGCCGGAATGGCCAGGCGAGGGCGCAGTGCGAACCTTGCCTTTGGGGCCGTAGGTGGAGATCCCTGTGGGCCACGATCCGTTTGACATGTGTGCCGAAGTAGACGGGAGGGCGAGATGTGAACCTTTTGTGTTTGGGGTTTTCCGTGGAGCTCCCTGCGGGCCACGAACCGTGTGAGAGGTGTGCCGAAGTGAGCGGGGCGACGCTGTGAAGCTACACTCTGCCGCAACACGTTTGTTTGCGGGCCACGATCCGCGCGAGGAGCGTGCCATTATGCGAGCCTGGTCTCTGGGGGCGTAGGCGGCGCTCCCTGTGGGGCGCGAACCTCGTGAGGGGTGTGCCGACAAGGACGGGGGGGCGCTAGCCAGGCTTGTCTCTGGGGCCGCAGACGGAGCCCCCCGAGGGGCACGACCCGTGAGACAAGCGATGTCCTTCAATACCGAACACTTTGGACTACAACTAGAGTTTGACACATATGTATATTTATAGATGCGTGTATATATATATATATATGTGTACACATAGCTTTCTGCCTGTCTATATGTTTGTTTGTTTGGTGTGGTTGTTTGTTTGTGTGCATGCACACACATCTATATATATGTGTGCTTGCATGCATGAACATGTACACATGCACGTACATGTCATACACATTGTGTATACACGTGCACACATGCCAGGTTCATGCACATTGTATATACGCGTCTACGCACAACTATCTATAAACATACGCTCATATATGCACATACCTATGTATGTATGTATGTATGCATGCATGCACGTATGTATGCATGTATGTATGTATGTATGTATGTATGTATGCATGCATGCATGCATGCATGCATGTATGTATGTTTGTATGTATGTATGTATGTATGTATGTATGTATGTATGTATATCTATGTATATCTATGTATATATATATATATATAGAAATAGGCCAGGGTGGGGGCTGTGCCGCTGCCTGTAACCCCCATGGGCGCCCCTCGGGGTTTCTGGGGGGTCCCAGAGCTCCCGAGACGGCCCGTGCCCTCCCGAAACAGGCCACGACAGGCTGAGAGGGTTCCAAGAGGGCCCAAGACGTTCCCAAGGGGCTCCGAAGTCGCCCAATGCGCTCCAGGACTGCAATGCGCTCCAGGACTGACTCAAGAGGCTCCCCAAGAGGCCCGGGAGGCACAATTCATTAGTTATCCGAGGGTTTTTGAAGTATTTCGGTATTCTCGCTTTTCCCGCTTCCCAGCGCTTCCTCACGGCCTCAGAGGCCTTTCATATCGCTCCAAGACGGCCCACGTGGCCCCGAAGAGGGCCCCAAGACGGCCCAGGAGGCTCCCCAGCAACCCAAGTGTGCCCCAAGAGCGCCCCAAGAGGGGTCCCAGAGGGGGAGCGCGAACTGATATTTCGAGGTCTCTGGCCACGGAGGCCTCCAGTGAGCCCCCCGAGGTCACCAAGAGGCCCCCACGAAGCCCCGTGAGGCCCCCAAGAGGACCCCAGGAAGCCCCAAGAGGCCCCCAAGGGGCCCCCAGGGAACGCCCAAGAGGCCCCCCAACACACCCCAAAAAATCATGTCCCAAGAAAGCCTTCCGGGGACATGGTTCATCATGGGCCCGAGAGTCTCCTGAGTCTCCGAAGTACCATCGCGTTGCCGGAGAGCTGTCTGGGAAGCTGACTGGGAACATGACCAATCGCCTGCTCGCGGCCCTCCGCGGATCGAATCGTTTTTCGCACAAAGTTGCCCCAACTGCCCTCTTGAACCGACGACGACGACGAAGACGACGAAACGACAAAGACGAGGACGAGGACGAGGACGACGACGACGACGACGACGACGACGACGACGACGACGACGACGACGACGACGACGACGACGACGACGACGACGACGACGACGGCGCGTCCCAAGAGGCGACGACGACATTACGATGACGACGACGGCACGCCCCAACAGGCTCCCCAAGACGCTCCCAAACCCATGTTCCCAGAAGGCCCTCTGGGAACCCGATTCATCAGGCCTCCGCCCCCCTACGCAATCATCTTCCCCGAAAGCCTCCCGGAATGCAGATTGACATGCATGGACTTCTCACTGCCCATAGTGGGTTCAGCGCTATGGCCACTTTTTCACTTCCCGTTCAAACCATCTGTGGCCCACTACTTCAGTGGAGCAGTGAACTCGTCAAGGCCTGGTGCCTGTTAGAACCTGAGCCCGCGCGATGGTTCTAGTATCTGTATATGTATATATAGACATGTTTGTATATTTCCTTCCAGCGACAGCAAGCAGGCGGCAGTGGCAGCCGCAGAAGCGTTAGCCTGCACACGACCAGCAGCGGAGCATCGGTGGCAACAGCTGTGTCAGCCGCGGCCGGCCCGCAGCCCAGGCGGCCACCTCGGACAGCCGGGCGCTCAGAATCCCCCCGCTCCCCCCGCGGTCGCGGTGGCAGCAGTAGCACCGCGCAGTGTACTCAGGGGCAGCACCGCCGGGTGTTCCGCCGGTGTTCCGCAGGGAGTCTTGAACGAAAGGGGCTCTGAGACGTGTTTTGCCGTTGTCGGCCTCCTGGGGTCCTTCACGCCGCTGGACGGTCAAACAACTCAAGGTGATGTTCGCCAGCGTGGACCTCAAACAGATCAGTTATTGCACTGGATGTGCGAGCTATGTGGTGCAAGCTATGTGGTGCAAGCTGTGTGGTGGAAGTTCTGTGGTGCATGGTATGCGGCGAAACCTCGGCGGGCCCCGCAAGTGGGCGGCCACGAGGCGGCAACGCGGCGAGACCTCGGTGGACCCTTCAAGTGGGCGGCAGCGAGGTGGCCGCGAGGCGGCCACGGACGGCGACGCGGCGAAACCTCGAAGGACCACATTTCTAGTGACACAAGGAAAAAACCCTTAAAGTGCAAGCACTGCTGTTGGGGAGCAGTTGGTCCCAGGGAGCCCAGG